TTATACACTCATGTTCATTACAGCATTATTCACAATAGCCAAGAGGTATGAACAACCCAAATGTCCACAAACAGATGGATAAAGGAAATGTGGTTATATACACACAATGGAATGTCACACAGCCTTAAAAAAAAATGAGATCCTATCACATGTTACAACATGGATGAATTTCGAGAATATTATACTAAGTAAGCCGGTCATCAAAGGACATGTACTGATGATGTCACTCACGAGAGATCTAAAGTAGTCAAAATCAGGAGTGCCCTGGTGGCTTAGTCAGTTAAATGGCTGACTTCGGCTCAGGTCATCGTCTCACAGTTTGTGAGTTTGAGCCCCGCATCGGGCCCTGTGCTGACCGCTCAGAGCCTGGAGCCTGCTTCAAATTTTGTCTCCCTCTCTCTCTGCCCCTCCCCCGCTTGCACTTGGTCTCTAAAAAATAAAAGAAAAAAGAAAAAAAAAGTAGTGAAATAATAAAAACAAAGTAGAAAGCTGTTGCTGGGGGAAAGGGAAGAGGGAATTAATACACACATAGTTTTAGTTTTGCAAGATAAAGTTCTAGAGATCTGTTGCACAACATCAATGTACTTAACACTAAACTGTACACCTAAAAATGTTTAAGATGGTAAATTTAATGTTATGTGATTGTGACCACAATTAAAAATAAATTAGGGTGTCTGGGTGGCTTAGTTGGTTAGATTGTATTATGTTAAATTAAAGCAGTCAGAGAAAAGACAAATACCATAGGATTTCACTCATATGAGATCATGACCTGAGCCAAAACCAAGAGTCAGAAGCTTAACCAACTGAGCCACCCAGGCACCCTGGGAAGGGAATTCTTAAAGTACTTTAAAAGCATGAAACGGAAGGCAAAAACAATTGTTAGTTTGATTACATAAAATAGTAAGGATTTCTACTCAAAGAGGATACAACAGCCAAAATTAACAAATGAGTAATGAACTGGGAGAATGTATTTGTACCCTCCAAAAATATGAGGTTACTAATCCAGACATACAAAGAGGGTCTTGTAAATCAACAATCAAAAGAGCCTTGAGTGCCTGGCTGGCTCAGTCTGAGAGCATGTGACTCTTGATCATGAGATTGTGAGTTCAAGCCCCATGTTGGGTGTAGAGATTACTTAAGGGGGAAAAAAAAGGGGGGGGGCGGTCATTGATAAAAGAGCAAAGCTTATGAATCAGCAATAGAGGGTGAAATCTAAATGACTAAAAATATAGGGACAGCTAGCTTCTCAAGTTCAGTAATTAGAGAAATACAGATCTTCAACAATGGGATACTCTTTTACATCCATTATGTTGGACCTGGGTAGCTTAGTCGGTTAAGCATCCAACTGTATTTATTTACTTCTTTCAGAGAGCTAGAGAGAGCGAGCGAAGAGCACGAGCATGAGCATGAGCGGGGGAGGTGCAGAAAGGGAAACAGAATACCTGAAGCAGGCTCCAGGCTCTGAGCTGTCAGCAGAGCCCAACTTGGGACTCAAACCACGAGATCATGACCTGAGCCAAAGTCAAGACACTTAACTGAGTCATCTAGGTGCCCCAGTGCCCCAAGCATCCAACTCTTGATTCTGGCTCAGGTCACTTGAGACTGAGCCTGGCATTGAGCTCGAGCTGACAGCGTGGAGTCTGCTTGGGATTCTCTCTCTCTTCTCTGTCCCTCCCCTGCTCACACTCTCTCACTCTCAAGATAAACTTAAAAAACAAGATGTAGGGGCGCCTGGGTGGCTCGGTCAGTTAAGCATCTGACTTATGACTTCGGCCCAGGTCATGATCTCGCGGTCCGTGAGTTCGAGCCCCGCATCGGGCTCTGTGCTGACTGCTCAGAGCCTGGAGCCTGTTTCAGATTCTGTGTCTCCCTCTCTCTCTGCCCCTCCCCTGTTCATGCTCTGTCTCTGTCTCAAAAATAAATAAACGTTAAAAAAAATTAAAAAAAAAAAACAAAAACAACAAAAAAAAAACAAGATGTAGAAGTGGGAACTCCAGTCAAATATACAAATAGCCAAAGTACTTATGACAACAGAACTCTGACCAACAACTTCTATAGCAATTAGCCTGGGAAGCCAAACCACCTTTGCAGCAATTGGCCCAGGATGGTCAGACTTGGTCAAGGACTACCAAATTCCCTATGTTGGTTCCCATTTCCAACTTGGAACCAACCAGAGAAGCCATGTATGTTCCCCAAAACCCGGACATAAGATGCCCTGTTTGTAGTTAGCTTCCCATGCCAATAACTTTCAGTAGGAGCATATGGAGCCTTCCCTTTAACAATGTAAAGCTCTTCCACTCCCAGCTGCCTTTGAGTCTGTGAAATACTGGCCATGGAGGCTGACTACTTTATCATAGCTAGGTCTGAATGAATACCACGGGTTTGTTTTCATCCAGGTGGTCTTCACCTATTTTCACAAAATAGAACCATTGTGAAGAGCAACCTGGCAATACTGAGAGGAATTAATCATAAGCTCACTTCAGGAGCCAACAGGTACTCTTTTTGAGGTCCATATGGGGTCAGAGACAAAGATGTTCATAAGCAGCATTGTTGCAGGGTAGGGTGGGGGGTTGGAGCAGCCTGGGTGTCCACCACTAGACAAAGTGATAAAATAGTGTGGATAAATACTGTAAAATTCACTAGAAATCTTGAGTCTTATGTACATACCAATATATACATCTTTTTAAAAATATATAAGATCCAAAGCATAATTCCTTTCACATAAATTAGAAACACCATCACTCACAAAAGGACATACTTTAGAAGAAAAACATCAGTGAACTATAGGACTATTAGTGGATGGGAACCCTTTCCAGGGAAGGGAACGTAGGAACGAGGGCCAGATAAAAGGGAAAATACAAGAGGTTTTGCAGACTTGATAGAGTAGCAAGGACTAAAGGATATTACCAACGGTGTTTATTTTTTAAATAAAGTTTATTTTGAGAGAGCGCACATGTGCACCAGCACGAGCACAAGGAGGGGAGGGGCAGAGAGGGAAAGACAGAATCCCAAGCAGGCTCCTCACTGTTAATGCAGAGCCCAATGCGGGGCTTTAACTCACAAACCACAAGATGATGACCTGAACGGAGATCAAGAGGCAGACACTTAGCGTTGGACTTTTGCTTATGTCGTGATCCTTGTGGTTCCTGAGTTTGAGCCCCACATTGGGCTCGCTGCTCTCACCAGAGCCTGCTTTGGATTCTCTGTCCCCCTCTCTGCCCCTCCCCTGCTTTTGCTTTCAAAAAAATTTAAATAATCTCTACACCCAACTTGGGGCTCAAACTTACAATTCAGAGATCGAGTTGCATGCTCTACCAACTGAGCCAGCCAGGGGCCCCCTGTCTACTCTTGTCTAAAAATTCTTACCCCTCCACACACCAGTGGAAAAAGCAACTTAAATACTATTCCCAAGTAAATCCCACAACAAAGGGGGTTTTGACCTTGTAGGTGTAGGTTAAAGTAAGCATCCAAGTTGGAGAGGATTACCTAACAGGCTTGTCTCTCAATCTGGTCATTAAAAGTATATCAGCATCAGCAGAATTGCTCCTTGACCTATAATTCTCCACCCTCACATGTCTACAGAAACAGGTTATTAGTCTAAAAGAAAGCAGTGCATGGGTGTCAAACGGGGTTCACAAACACTATATCAAGTTTCCTGGGGCTGCCGTAACAAACTATAACAAAGTAGGTGGCTTAAAACAAAAACACACAATTCTGGAGACTAGAAGTCTGAAACTAGAGTATTGACAGGATCATGCTCCCGCCAAAGGATCTAGGGAAGAATCCTTCCTTGTGACTTAACCCTAGTTATGCAAGATGTTTTACCACTGGGGGGGAGAAGGGTGAAAGGTACATGGGACAGTACTATTTTCTCAACATCCTGTATCATTTCACAAGCAGAGCAAAAAAGTACTTTTAGTTTTACAAAAGTAAAGAAATACTAGGAGGGGCGCATGGATGGCTCAGTCGGTTAAGCATCAGACTTCGGCTCAGGTCGTGATCTCGAGGTTGAGTTTAAACCCTGCATCAGGCTCTCTGCTGTCGGCACAGACCTGCTTCAGATCCTGTAACCCTCCCTCTCTTCCCCTCCCCCACTCATGCTCTTTCAAAAATAAATGAACATTAAAAAAAGAAAACTGGGATTAAAAATCCTGTTAGCCAGTAATAGCAATACAATGCAGCAAAGTATGATAATGGAGTACCTATGATTAATATCTTCAGTTTTCCCACCTACATGCTCACAACATAACTGAAAATGGACTCCTGTGGTGCTCATTCTAAAAACTGGGGTGGGGCAAGTGCCTTGGCTGGCTCAGTCGGTGGAGCATGTGACTCCTGGCCTTGGGGTTGTAACTTCGAGCCCCACACTGAGTGTAGAGATTACTTAAAATAAAATCTTAAATAAATAAAAATAAAAAATGGAGGACAACCAGCCTTACTTTAGATCTATTGGCCATAAAGAAGGATTTCCCATCTACTGCGGTGTATCATGTTGGGCACAAATATCACCTTGCAGAATCTTACAAGACACCCACGAGGAAAGAATGAACCCAGGTACAGATGAAAGAACTGAACTCAAGAAGCATTAGTAACTTGCCTGGGGTCACACAGTAAAATTAGAACTCCAAGCCAGGTGTACTGAGGCCAGGGCATTTGAAATAGCAATCAGTTTGCAGAAAGGCCCATGAAGGCCAGAGTCAGAAGGACTGAACTGAGAAAAGAAGTGTATTTCAAAAGCTGGACTTTTTTTTTTTTTTTTTTTTTTTTAAAAAAATATACTAAATAAGCCCTTGACACAAAAGCCATAAAATGATTACATCATTCTCTTAATTTCTTCAGTTATCAATACATTACAAATCATTTTTTTTATTCTAGACGAACAATTGACAATACATTTGACCTCTCCCTTGGATGGGTTTATGTAATAAAATGTAAAATTTAACTACATTAATGACAAAATAGATTAGAAAGTGTAAAATAGAAAACATAAGCAAATGAAGCATAATCAAAGGAAAAACATTTAATATAAAGATTCAAGATTGACATCATGACATTAAAATTGAATATCCTTCTCAAGATAAAAGTTCAACTTTTCCATCTGTTTTCTATTTAACTTCTCCTGTCATCTTTTTTCCAGTGCTTTTCTATTACTTTTACCCCACCTCTTCCTATCTGGTTACAGACAGATTCCATCCCTCTCCCTGGTAGTTTAGAAAAGTCTACTCCTATGCAAGCTACAATGATTAACACCATTTTAAAACACCCTTTAACAATGCCAACAAAGTAACCTTCCCTTCCCCTACTCCCCAAATACACTGTTTGAGGTCCATCCTCCTGGGTAGAAATGTGGCATTTTATTTTCAACCTTTCCTTATTGATTTTTGCTGTGGGAGGAAGGTAATATATATTGTGTACATGTATTTATAGTCATCCTAGAATGCTAAGGTAGATCCTCCAGTAATTCTTGCAATGAGGGTATGCAAGAAATAAACTTTGTGAATTCTTCAGTATCAAAAAATGTCTTTGTTTTACCTTCAAAACTGAATGCCAATTTGGCCGGGTATAGGATTTTAGGTGTAAAGCCTTTTGCTTGCAGAACTTTTATGATATTGCTCCATTTACTTCTAGCATCTAGAGTATCCAATGATAAATCTGCTGTCAATCTGATTCTTGTTCCTCTATAAGTTATCTCTCTTCTCTTTCTGGAAGCCTTTATGATCTTTTCTTTATCATTGGAATTCCCAAATTTCACCAAGATGTGTCTAGGAGTGAGTCTCTTCTCATCAATCTTACTAGGTATTCGGTAAGCACTAACAATCTCAAGACTTGAATCCTTTAGCTCTGGAAAGTTTTCTTCAATGAGTTCCTTCATTATTTCCTCTGCTCCATTTTCTTTATTATCTTTTTCTGGAATTCCTATCAGGCGGATATTGGAGCTTCTGGATCTATCTTCTATGTCTCTTGACCTTTCTCTATTTATTATCTGTTTGGCCATTTGCATTGTATCCTTAGAGAATTCTTCAATATGATCTTCTAGATTGTCCATTCTCTCTTCAAGTAGGTCTATTCTGCTATTGAGAACATCTATTGAGTTTTTTATTTCCAAGACTTCTGGAAGGTAACTTTTAATATTTGCAACCTCCTCCTGGATCTCTCTGAAGTTGTTAGTTATACTTCTTCTAAAGTTTTCTTCTGTCTCTTGTATTAAGTCTGTTTCTTTAGATGTTTGCTCACCTGTTTGTGGAGTTTTCTGTCTCTCTTTCTCTGTTTTCCTTGAAAATCTGGAGATTCCTGATGGAGTACTTGATTTTGTATATAAATGCCTTTTCTGCTCATCAGAACTTCTCTCCAGTGATTTTGAGGGAGAGACAAAACACCAAGTTGGACAAACTGTCCCAACTCCCTGGTTTCTAGGTGTAGCTGTTTCTTCTTTATTCTGGGTTTTTTGTAACATCCGGTGTTTCGCTAGTTTTTCCTTCTCAAAGTTGGGAGCCAAATAATTATAGGCAATTTCTTTAGGTCCATATGAGGCCTCTTTTCTCTCAACTGGGGAGGCAGGCTTTACATTTTCTACTTCAGAGTCCTCTCCTTCCTCCCATGATAGGACTACTTCCATTTCCCACTCTGAACCTTCTTCCTCCTCTGGCTCAGAATCTTCTACCTCTTTAATTAAAACAATTTCCAAGCCATTACTGGTTTTTTCCTCAACTCCACATTTTGTATTTACCAAAGAATGACACTGAAAGGTTGAATCCTGTTTCTCACATAATACTGAAGCCTCCTCTTCTTCTTCCTCCTGCAGCCCTGAAGCCTCTTCTTCCTCATCCAGCTCTGAGGTCTCTTCTTCCTCCTCCTCCTCCATCCCTGAAGCCTCTTCTTCCTCATCCAGCTCTGAGGTCTCTCCTCCCTCCCCTTCCAGCTCTGAGGCCTCTTCCTCCTCTTCTGTCTCCCACTCTGAAGATTCTTCCTCCTGGGTCTCTAAGTTCTTCACCTCCTGTGGCTCAGCAACCTTAACCTCTTTAACAAATAGAAAGCTCAAGCCATCACCAACATCCCCCCCAGCTCCATGCTTTGAATCTAGTAGCGTTTTTCCCTGAAAGAAAAAAAATTGAACGAATAAATAAGTAGTATCATGTGCCTTTTAATGGAATTAATGCTTTCACTGTCTAAATTTAATTTTGACTGCCATTTTAACAATTATCAAATAAAGAGCTGGAAAATTATTTAGGTAATACTTTTTCTTGAATGCCTAAGTCCCCAAACAAGTCAAGCTTACTCTATGATTATCCCATCACGCCTGCAATCTGTATAGCACTTGCAACAAATTTCCATCAGGTCATGTTTACTATGTTCCTTCTATATTCCCAACACTTAAGTGTTTTGTGCCTGACTGACTCTCAAGAACAACTTGTATTTGTGAATGCCTGAGTATGTGCAGGACAGTATGGTAATGAGACTCTGCGATCTAATTTCAGGAATATTATCAACCCGCACCCCCCACTCACATTTACATTTCTCCCAGAGGAAACAAAAGTAAATTTAATATTTCTTAAAGATCCCACTTTCAAGTTCCAGCCACATTGTTCAAAAGGAAAGCATGCTTTGGTTAAGAGTACAAGCTCCTAGGGGCGCCTGGGTGGCGCAGTCGGTTAAGCGTCCGACTTCAGCCAGGTCACGATCTCGCGGTCCGTGAGTTCGAGCCCCGCGTCGGGCTCTGGGCTGATGGCTCAGAGCCTGGAGCCTGTTTCCCATTCTGTGTCTCCCTCTCTCTCTGCCCCTCCCCCGTTCATCCTCTGTCTCTCTCTGTCCCAAAAATAAATAAACGTTGGAAAAAAAAAAAAAACAAAAGAGTACAAGCTCCTAAATCCAGCTGTCACATTTGCTACTGGTGCCTCAACGTGCCCTCTAGAACAGCATCTAATGTAATGCACTACTTCAGATTATTGTGGAGGGTTAAATAGGACAGCCTAGTACTCAATTTAAGACAATGTCTCCAATATAAAAGTTAACTCTTAACATTTCTTGAAACCCTGTACTTGCCTCTGAATATTCCGTTTAATGCTCCTTGTTACAGAAGGCTCTTCTTCCCTATTTGGGGTTGGTTGATAGATATTTGTCCTTCAACCTTCCCAGACTGTTTAGAACAGGTTAGTTGCCTCATCTGTGCAAATCTCCAGGGAATAATTTCTAGGATTAAATGCTGATTCTCAAATAAAGAATTTGTTGATCCAAGTGTATTTCCTAATTCTAGACTGTCATTTTGCAGAGATGTTATACTAGAAAATGTTGAGAGGGCAGGGAAATTAGGTACTCTTTTGAGAACCCAGCAAAAATACTGGCTTAAGCTACAGACCTCTGAAGATACAAATAAACAGAAAGATATTCTGTGCTCATGGATTGGGAGAATTGGTATTGTTAAATGTTTATACTACCCAAGGCAATTAGCAGATTCAATGTGATCTCTATCAAAATTCCAGTGGCATTTTTCATAGAACAATTCTAAAACTAGTATGGAACCATAAAGGACCCAATACCCAAAGCAATCTTAAAAAGAAACAAAGCAGGAGGCATCACGCCCTGGTTTCAAACTATATTACAAAGCTATAGTAATCAAAACAGTATGGTATATGGTATTGTCATAAAAACAGACTCATAGATCAATGTAAACAGAGAGCCTAGAAATAAACTCGCACATATATGGTCAACTAATTTATGGACAAATGACCCAAGAACATGCAATGAGGATAGTCTCTTCAATAAGTGGTGCCAGGAAAAATGGAGAGTCACATGCAAAAGAATGAAACTAGATTACTATGTTATACCATACACAAAAATAAGAAATACACATCCAAGATGAAAGAGAGAGAGAGGGAGAGAGAAAGGGAATCTCTACAGTATACTACAGGCATTACCTTTCAAGATTGGGATTATGAAAAATATTCAGAAAATAGTGTTTTCAATGAAACCAATAAACATGGGAATATACTCTAATACAATGTAAGAAACAAAAACCTTTATACATGAAATGGATAACTGCTAAATATTAATATTAATGAACACTCTGATAGGCTTTAGTAAAATAGATTTGCATTTTGCTGAATGTTAATAAAGAGGACTTAGCAGGACTACTTTATACATTGAAATTTCAACCTAATTATACCTGATACTTTTTTTCATAATCCTATTGCTTGAGGGCTTTTAATTGAACTTATTTATTTCTATTCTTCCTCCTACTGTTTTAAAAGCCACTATTCTAGTGTTTATCCTTAAATACATAACATATATATAAATTCATTTTCTTTCAATGTCTATAATAAATATGTACAATCTCTTCTCAGAGCAACTCAAATCTTTTTAATCTATTCCAAGCTTTCAATGCCACCCATTAAAAGAAAAAGAGCCTTTAAGTCATTACTTTTAATGTCATGCTTTTAGTTTTAAGGATTTTTTTTAAGGAATTCTTTCTTTTTAAGTATTTATGAGAAAAGAGAGACAGAGCGTGATCTGGGAAGGGGCAGAGAAAAGAGGGAGACACAGAATCCAAAGCAGACTCCAGGCCCCAAGCTGTCAGCTCAGAGCCCAACACAGGGCTGGAACTCACCAACCATGAAATCATAACCTGAGCTGAGGTTGGATGCTTAACCGACTGAGCCACCCAGGCGCCCCTTTAAGAAAATATTTCTTAAAAATTGGTTTAAACTTCAGAATAACTTTACCAACTATTCTACTTCATACATAAACTCCAAAGATCTATATATACTTACCACTTTTTCTCGAATCCCGTATCTTCTTCCTCCTTTCTTTATTTTTTCACTTTGTGGGAGTATATCCTTCAGTAATTCTTTCATAAATGGTTTTTGGCTAGTAAAATTGCTGAGGCTTTGAATATCTGAAAAGGTCCTTACTTCACCATCACACTTAAATGCTAATTGAACTTGACATAGAACTTGAGGTTCAAAATCATTTTCCCTCAGAATGTTGAAGACATTACTCCATTGCTTACTGATGTCCAGTGTTGCCGATGAAAAGTCTGCTGCCAACCTAAGTACTGCTCCTTCATCTTCTCTGGAGGCTTTTAGAATCTTCACTTTATTATTGTTTAAATTCTGAGGAATTTTTTCCTCTCTTTTTGCTTTGACCACTCCACCCTCTCCAATCTCTATGTTCTCTCCTGTTACTTCCATATGGATCCTACTATCTCCCCAAGTGTTATCTATATTGCTTATGGCTTCTTCCATACTTTCCATGACTTTGTAATTTTGTGACTCATCATAGGACAATTCCTTACCTTGGTTAGTACTGTACTCTTCAGCTTTGTCTAATCTGCTACTTGGCTCATTTATTTCTTTTCTTTTAAAAGTCAAATTTTCAACATCCTCAACTATTTTAGAGTTTGCTCCTTCTATGTTTTCTACCAATCCTTTATTTTGTGTGGCTAAACCTTTTATTTGTTGGCACTCCTTTTTGGTACTGGAGTTCTTTGGATTTTTCACTTCAGGTATTTTACTTTCTACTCCTAAAATTTCCTTTAGGTCATTTTTAAGAGAGTCCCTTATCTCTTCAACCATTAAATCCAGATTTTCCATCAAGCCTTTAAACTTCATCAGCACAACTGCTGACATGTCTTTGCATTTTAAATCTAATACCTGAGCCATTTCCTGGTCAGTTTCTATCAACTGAATTCTTTCCCTATGAGTGATATTTTCCTGCTTCCTTGCAAGTCTATCAATTTCTGACTGTATAAGGGACATTGTGGACACGTTTTTATTTTCCTGAAGAGTAATTTTTGTTCTTGAAGGTCTGCTAGACTCCCCCAAACTCAAATATCTTTAAAAAGATTATCTGAAATACAAAAAAAAAAAAAAAAAGTAACTTGTTTACTTAACAATTATTTTGAGAAGCACAACGACCAAGAATATAAACGTGGTTATTAAGTAAACTGAGTACTCCACAATTTAGTATAAAGGGTAAACCATAGGTTACATAGGGTAACACATGGGTATATGCACATAAACAACAAAAAAAATCAGAATTCAAAATTCATACAATATGATTAATACCCCATTCAAGTAAAGATTTCAATGCCATAAATCAACCAATAATGATGGAAATTGGCCAGTTTCCCATACTATTAACTTTGCTGCCTATGTTCGCTGTCAGGATCAAACAGATTACAGGAAAATAAACATTATTAAAACAGAGTGTACCAGGGGCACCTGGGTGGCTCAGCAGGTTGAGCATCCCAACTTTGGCCCAGGCCATGATCTCACAGTTCATGAGTTCGAGCCCCAGCATCAGACTTGCTGTTGTCAGTGCAGAGCCCACTGGGGACCCTAGATCCCCACCCCTCTCTCTGCCCCTCCCCTGCTCGCACTCTCAAAAATAATCATTTTTTAAAAAGAGTGCACCATACCAAATTTTTAACGCTTAAGGTGACTTGGATGGAATCATAATGGAAAAACAGAAGGCCCTTTTTTGATTGCAGAGAAAGTTAACATTAAGGATTTTTCTTAAAACCAGCTCAAGTCAATTAAGAGTATTACTTTCCAGAATGCAAATATTAATACCTGAGGGGAACAGAATAACTAAAATCCATGCCTACTCCCACGTCACAGAGGCCCTGGACCTTTGCTTGAGGAGACTCAATTAGGCTGTTCATTTATGTTTTTAATCATTCAACCCTGCTGTCCTGACCCTGCATGGTGGAAAGGGAGAAACCACTCCCATCCCTTCATCCCTTAATTAACAGGGATGAGAAATGGCTATGCACAACAGACACACTTTGGACAACAGCTGGGATGCCTGTTCCTTAATCTTTTCCTCTGCAAAGCCTAGTAGGTATTCGTTTGAGTGGACTACTGTTACACTAAAAATTGTACCACATGCTGATTCATCACTGCTGTCAAGACCCAAACTGCTTGAACTTACAGGTGTGAAAAGAAAAATTAGACCCCCTTCAAGAGGATTCAGCAACTTCATGGAAGGGGACTAAGGTAAATAAACAAAACTAGTAGCTATTATTGAAGCATATGAACAGAAGAGAAAGGGGAAATAGGACTCATGAGTGTTGACCATACCTTTGAGGAACAGAACCAGAAAACCTTCCAAGCATCTAATGGAAGGAGGATACAAACCACATATAGTAATAGAAAACTTCTCTGGACTGGAGTCATGTGATTGAAAAAAACAAAAATCACGAGATCTGGGGCAAGGTTAATAAAAGATGCATATCCATCTATATATAATCCTGGTAAAACTTCTGAATGCAGACATGAGCCATCCAAGTTCCCAGACATTCAATCACATTTATTGAGCAGACTATCTGCTATGGATAGCAAAGGAAAAAGATGTTGAGTAAAAATGGACATGGAACCTCCCCTACAAGGGAGTGAACATCTAGGGAGAAATAAATATCAAATGGCAACTGTGCCAACTTACAAAGTAAGGGTCGAGGGTCATGAGTGTCTATACCAGGTGTCAGCTGACATATTCAGGGAGATCCAGGAAGGCTTCCCTGCAAAAGTAGCTCACACTGAATCTGAGAAGTGAGCAGCAGCTACATGGCAAAGAATGGAAGAAAGTACATTCCGGAAGCAAGGCTGGAGCAAGCATCTGCTGAAGGGGAACATATAGCAGGGAAGGGGCATAGAGAGAGGGAGAAAGAGGATCCAAACAGAGCTCCACGCTGACAGCTGAAATCCTGATGCAGGGCATGAACTCGGGAACTGCAAGGTCATGACCTAAGCGAAGTAGGACACTCAACCAACTGAGCCACCGAGGCACCCCAAGGAAAAAAAAACAAAACAGGTTTTAAAGGAAGAGCAAATTTCGTTTAACATATCAAGCTTGAGGTGCTCTTGAAATAGAGAATGAGATAAGTGGTTCTAAAACCTAACCTACCCTAGTTTCTGCTCTGCAAGATACACTTTTGCGAATCATCTGCCCATAGGCAGTTAATTCCATAGCTAACAAACAATCCAGAAAAGAAAAAAAACAAAACTCAAATTAACCTGAGACAAGATGAGATGACAAGCCACATACTGGGGAAAAATATTTGCAAAAGAGACATCTGATAAAGGATTGCTTTTCAAAACAGACAAAGGACTCTTAAATCTCAGTAAAAGTAAAATGAACCGGATTAAAAATGGACAAAAGAACCAAAGAGACACCTCACCAGGGAAGATACACAGATAGCAAGTCAGCATATGGAAAGATGTCATCAGGTAAATGCAAATTAAAATGAGATACCACTACATGTCTATTAGAAGGGCCAAATCCAAAATAACTAACATCAGGTGCTGGTAAGAATGTGGAGTAACAGCAACACTCATTTCACTGCTTATGGAAATGAAACAATGACACAGCTACTTTGGAAGACAGTTTGGCAGGTGCTTCAAAACGGAACATATTTTTACCATCGTGTTCCCTGGTATTTACACAAAGGAGTGGAAAATTTATATCCATACAAAAACCTGCATACTGAGGTTTAGAGCGGCTTTATTCAGAACTGCCAAAACTGAGAAGCAACCAAGGTATTTTTCAGTAGTTGGATAAACTGGGGTATATCCAAACAATGCAGTATTATTCAGGGCCAAAAAGGGATGCGTTACTAACACATTTAGACAACATGGAGGAAACTAAATTGCAAATTTACCAAGTCAAAGAAGCCAACCTGAAAAGGCTACATACTACAGGATTCCAATTACATGACATTCTATAAAAGGCAAAAGTATAGAGACAGAAAAAACATCAGTTGTTCTCAGGGACTGAGGGGAGGAAGATGAACAGGCAGAGCACAGAGGATTTTTAGGAGTGAAACTATTCTGTATGATAGTGGCGGACACAGGCCACGTACTTGTCAAAACTCACAGAAACTCATAGAAAATTCACTCGCCAAGAGTGAACCCTAATGCAAACTACGAACGGATAATGATACATGAATGTAAATTTACCGGCTGTAACAAATGTACCACTTGGTGTGGGATGATGAGGCAGGGGCCATGCAGGTGTGAACCTAAAACTGTGAACCTAAAACTGTTCCAAAAATTAAGTTTATTAGTTAAAAAAAAAAAAAAATAGCATGAAACATCTTGCCCACAATGATGAAGCTTAAAAAAAATAACTTTGAGGACTACTACAAAAGGGCTGTGACAATCATAGGGGGCGGCGCCTGGGTGGCTCAGTGGGTTAGGGGTCTGATTTCAGCTCAGGTCATGATCTCACGGTTTGTGACTTCGAACCCCACATCAGGCTGTACTGACAGCTAAGCGCCTGGAGACTACACTTCGGATTCTGTGTCTCCCTCTCTCTCTGCCCCACTCATGCTCTCTCTCTCAAAAATAAACACTAAGGGGCGCCTGGGTGGCTCAGTCTGTTGAGCGGCCGACTTCGGCTCAGGTCACGATCTCGTGGTCCGTGAGTTCGAGCCCCGCTTCGGGCTCTGGGCTGATGGCTCAGAGCCTGGAGCATGTTTCAGATTCTGTGTCTCCCTCTCTCTGACCCTCCCCCGTTCATGCTCTGTCTCTGTCTCAAAAATAAATAAACATTAAAAAAAAAAAATTAAAAGAAATAAAATAAAATAAAATAAAATAATAAAAGAAAAATTTCTGTGTATGGAATTCAAATACTAAAGGATACAGATATTTAAATTCCAAAATAACTCGGTCAAAAACTGAAGGAAATTTAAAAATACTGAATGTCAGTAATAACTACTTATAGTAGGTAGTGAAAACGGTGCTTTGAAGGAAATTTAGACTTTAAAATATTAAAAAAAAAGTAGAAAGGATGAAATGGAGTTAAACTGCTAGATAAAGAATGAAATAGACCCCAAAAGTTGAAAACACTTAACCTCTGATGACAATTGACCAACCTAGAGAAAAGGCACAAATAAATAACACTGTAAAGAAAAAGGGGGATACAACAGCAAATAAAGCATAGTTCAAACACAGGATTATTATTAAACTTTCACAATTAAATTTGAAAAGTGAGAAGCAATTTTTACCTTACTGGTACCCAAAGTCTTCTAAAGATCAGGAAAAAGGAAGTATTTTTTTTAAGTTTATTTATTTATTTTTTTTTTTAAATTTATTTTGAGAGACAGGACATGTACATGCAGGCACATGAGCAGGGGAGGGGCTGAGAGAGGGAGAGAATCCCAAGACCAACATGGGGCTTGAACTCAGGAAATGTGAGGTCATGGCCTGAGCCTAAACCAAGATGCTTAAGTCAGATGCTTAACTGACTGAGCCAACCATGTGTCCCTACGCCACCCAGAGCATGCAACTCTTGATCCCAGGGTCATTGTTGAGAGCCCATGTTGGGCATGGAGCTTATGGAAAAAAAAAAAACCAAAAAAACAGAACAACAAAAATGTAGGGCACTTGGGTGGCTCAGGGTTGGGTTGCTTGAGCATCCCACTCTGGATTTCGGCTCAGGTCATGATCCCAGGGTTGTGGGACAGAGCCTTGCGCCTGGCTCCGCGCTCAGTGTGGAGCCTGCTTAAGATTCTCTCTCCTCTCCTCTGTCAGTTCTCCTCTCCCCCACTTGCACTCTCTTTAAAAAAACAAAACAAAAAACAAACAAAACCCAGCGCTGTAAGAGTTTAAAACAAATAATTTATGAATGTAAGTCACTACATTAACTATTCAAAAAAATATATTAGTTGCAAAAAACCTTACACTTAGCATTCACTTAAAGTACAAACAACAGGAGGTCAAAGGAAAAATGTATACTAAACACCTTCATTAGTTCAGGGAAAAGGTCAAAAAAGTAAATGTAAGGATGACTACAAATACAAAAAAATGATAAAAATTAGTTATACACATTTCATCCCTCCTAATGAC